CCCCTGACAGGCACCTAAAGCCAGTACCTGACAAGCCGGGCTGTGGTTCGTACGTCGGTTTGCATGCGGCCAGCAGTAACAGCCTGGTTGACCAGACCCTGACCCACCACGAGGCCTGGTCTCAGACCGGGCACCGGGCCGGGGGACGGCGTTAACCCTGAAACCCTCTCCAGGTATATTCCAGGTAGCCACGGTATTGTAGGTTAGTTGTGAACGGTTACAGCTGGGGTATTGTGGGAAAGTTGTGAATTGTTACAGCCAGGGTATTGTAGGTTAGTTGTGAATTGTTGCAACCACGGTATTATGGGTTAGTTGCGAATTGTTACAGCCACGGTATTGTGGGTCAGTTGTGAACTGTTGTAGCCAAGGTATTGCGTTAGTTGTAAATTACTGCAGCCACGGTATTGTGGGATAGCTGTGAATTGTTGCAGTCAGGGTATTGTGGGTTATGAATTGTTTCAACTACAGTAATATGGATTAATTTTAAATTGTTAAGGCCACGGTATTGTGGGTTAGTTTTGGATTTTTCTAGCAACGGTATGATAGTTTAGATGAGAATTGTTCCAGCAATGGTATTGTGGGTCAGCTGTGATCTGTTGTACCTACATTATTGTAGGTTTGTTTAAAATTGTAGCAGCTATTGTAGTTGTGAATTTTCCCCGCTATGGTAAGGTAGGTTAATTATGAACTGTTCCAGCAATGGTACTATGGGTTAGGAGCAAATTGATAAGACACACGTGCAACAGTTAGCTATCTTTATACCAAAACGTTTCGCTCACACAGTAGACTTCTTTAGTCGAGTACAAAGGAGAAAGCAGAAGCAGTAGTGATGTAAAGACGATGTAATCAGTCCATCACCCTCGAAGACTTAGTTTTGAGGTGGTCAGTCCCTCAGCCTGGAGAAGTCCTCTCCATTGTTCCAGACTATGGAACTGAACTTTTCACCAGGCTGAGGGACTGACCACCTCAAAACTACCTCTTCGAAGGTGATGGACTGATTACATCGTTTTTACATCACTGCTTCTACTACCTTCTTTAAATTCGACTGAAGAAGCCTACAGCAGCGGTATTGTGGGTTAATTGTGAATTCCTGCAGCCGTAGTATCGTGGGTTAGTTGCTGAACAAGCTTCTGTTGGGACAACATTAGGTGTAAATTGTTGTTGTTACGGAATTGTGGTTTAGTTGTGAATTATTCCAGCTACGGTATTGTGGTTTAGTTGTGAATTATTCCAGCTACGGTATTGTGGTTTAGTTGTGAATTGTTCCAGTTGCGGTATTGTAGTCTGGTTGTGAATTGTTCCAGCTACGGTATTGTGGTTTAGTTGTGAATTGTTCCAGCAACGGTATTGTGGTTTAGTTGTGAATTGTTCCAGCTACGGTACTGTGGTTTAGTTGTGAATTGTTCCAGCTGCGGTATTGTGGTTTAGTTGTTAATTGTTCCAGCTGCGGTATTGTGATTTAGTTGTGAATTGTTCCAGCTACGGTATTGTGGTTTAGTTGTGAATTGTTCCAGCTACGGTATTGTGGTTTAGTTGTGAATTGTTCCAGCTGCGGTATTGTGGTTTAGTTGTGAATTGTTCCAGCTGCGGTATTGTGGTTTAGTTGTGAATTGTTCCAGCTACGGTATTGTTGGTTAGTTGTGAATAGTTCAGCTCGGTATTGTAGGTTTAGTTGTGAATTGTTCCAGCTGCGGTATTGCATGGTTAGTTGTGAATTGTTCCAGCTGCGTATTAAGGTTTAGTTGGAATTGTTCCAGCTCAAGGTATTGGTTGTTGTGAATTGTTCCAGCTACGGTATATGGTTTAGTTGTGAATTGTTCCAGCTCGGTATTGTGTTTAGTGTGAATGTTCCACGCTAAGGTATTGGGTTTAGTTGTGAATCCTTCCAGCTACGGTATTGTGGTTTAGGTGAATGTTCCAGCTACGGTATTGTAGGTTTAGTGGTGAATTCCTTCAGACGGTAGGTGTTCCACTTAGAATTGTTCCAGACGGTTTTGTGGTTTAGTGTGACTGTTCCAGCTTCACGGTATTGTGGTTGTATAAGTAGTTTCATCAAAGGTAGGGTGACTTCCATCCTACAAAGGTAGGGTGACTTCCATCCTTCAAAAGGTAGGTGACTTCCATCCTTCAAAGGTAGGGTGACTTCCATCCTTCAAAGGTAGGGTGACTTCCATCCTACAAAGGTAGGGTGACTTCCATCCTTCAAAGGTAGGGTGACTTCCATCCTTCAAAAGTTGGCTGACTTCCATCCTACAAAGGTAGGGTGACTTCCATCCTTCAAAGGTAGGGTGACTTCCATCCTTCCAAAGTTGGCTGACTTCCATCCTTCAAAGGTAGGGTGACTTCCATCCTTCAAAGGTAGGGTGACTTCCATCCTTTAAAGGTAGGGTGACTTTCATCCTTTAAAGGTAGGGTGACTTCCATCCTTCAAAAGTTGGCTGACTTCCATCCTTTAAAGGTAGGGTGACTTCCATCCTTCAAAGGTAGGGTGACTTCCATCCTTCAAAAGTTGGCTGACTTCCATCCTTCAAAGGTAGGGTGACTTCCATCCTTCAAAGGTAGGGTGACTTCCATCCTTTAAAGGTAGGGTGACTTCCATCCTTCAAAGATTGGCTGACTTCCATCCTTCAAAGGTAGGGTGACTTCCATCCTTCAAAGGTAGGGTGACTTCCATCCTTCAAAGGTAGGGTGACTTCCATCCTTCAAAGGTAGGGTGACTTCCATCCTTCAAAGGTAGGGTGGCTTCCATCCTTCAAAGGTAGGGTGACTTCCATCCTTCAAAGGTAGGGTGACTTCCATCCTTCAAAGGTAGGTGACTTCATCTTCAAAGTTGACTTCCATCCTTCAAAGGTAGGGTGACTTCCATCCTTCAAAGGTAGGGTGACTTCCATCCTTAAAGGTAGGGTGACTTCCATCCTTCAAAGGTTGGCTGACTTCCATCCTTCAAAGGTAGGGTGACTTCCATCCTTCAAAGGTAGGGTGACTTCCATCCTTCAAAGGTAGGGTGACTTCCATCCTTCAAAGGTTGGCTAACTTCCATCCTTCAAAGGTAGGGTGACTTTCATCCTTCAAAGGTAGGGTGACTTCCATCCTTCAAAGGTTGGCTGACTTCCATCCTTCAAAGGTAGGGTGACTTCCTCCTTCAAAGGTAGGGTGGCTTCCATCCTTCAAAGGTAGGGTGGGCTTCCATCCTTTTAAGGTGGGTGGTTCCATCCTTCAAAGTGGTGACTTCCATCCTTCAAATGTAGGGTGACTTCCCATCCTTCAAAGTTAGGGTGACTTCCATCCTTCAAAGGTAGGGTGACTTCCATCCTTCAAAGGTTGGCTGACTTCCATCCTTCAAAGGTAGGGTGACTTCCATCCTTCAAAGGTTGGCTGACTTTCATCCTTCAAAGGTAGGGTGACTTCCACTCCTTCAAAGGTTGGCTAACTTCCATCCTTCAAAGGTAGGGTGACTTTCATCCTTCAAAGGTAGGGTGACTTCCATCCTTCAAATTAGGCAAAAAAAATAAAAAGAAAAAAAATTATTAATGTAAGGTCGCTAAGCGCTTAGTAGCCTAGCCAGGTGGCCCAGTGGTTTACGCACTCGCCTGGAGTTTCATGACTCTCTTGCCGTGGTTTCTAACCCTCGTCCATACCGTGGTTTGCCAGGTTAGTTTTGGTGCGAAACAAAATCTGCGCATGAAACATCTGAAAAGATTTAGTTCACTGTTGCCACTAGTTAAAGGCAGAACTTTCAGGTAAACACCTGAGTCTGTTATGATTAAAGATTTCTCTGTACAAAACCTATTATTATTATCGCATAGGTGTCCCGTAGCTTGATTGGTAGCGCACTCAGCTCACACACCCAGGTCCGTGATTCGATCCCCGGTACGTGTAGAGACATTAGGACGTGTTTCCTTAAGACACCTGCTGTCCATGTTCACCTTGCAGTAAAATTAGGTACCTGGGTATTAGTCGACTGGTGTGGGTCGCATCCTGGGGACAAAACTGACCTAATTTGCATGAAATGCGCTGCATAACAAGGGGCTTACTATACAGTAGTATGTCATTATGTCACCTATGGTCTGCATAAGTTGTATCAAATACTTGTAGAAATAAAGATTATTATTATTATTATTATTATTATTATTATTATTATTATTATCATTTCTACAGTGTATAGTAATATATATATATGAATGGTGTTACACACAAATAACCCGCACATAGGAGAAAAAAGCTTATGACGACGCTTCGGCCTATTGACTATACAAGGTCACACAGTCGGACCACAATGTCCAAAGTCGGCCGAAACGTCGTTATAAGTTATCTGTGATCCTATGTGTCGGGTTTTATTTTGTAGATATTGTGCCAGCACGGTATTGTTCTTTTTATTTTACATGATATTATATACAGACATGTATGTAAATATTATATACAGACATGTATGTAAATATTATATACAGACATGTATGTAAATATTATATACAGACATGTATGTAAATAAAACACAATTTACAGTTTATGGCAACTGATAGAGAAAACGTTTCGCGCACCAGGGGCTTTTCAGTGCGTGGGAACTGTTGACGTTCCAGTTGGACGAAACGTCTTGTCTACAAATGCCATGAACAGCAAACTGTGCCTTAAAACGATATAAAATACACCCAGTTCGGGCAAGTTTTATTAGGCCGGCAGTGGTTGAGCACTGACCTGCTAGTCTTAGCAATGGCTTGCCATGGGTTCGAACCCTCTTCGGTCGGTAAGCCGATTACACGACACAGTGATAGTTGAGAGTCTTAGCCATTACACTCGTAGTCTTGGAAACAAAAACACTGTCTTCTATCAGCACTGAGAATCAGCCAATTTGTATAGACAAACAGATTTTAAGATGACCTGTATTGACAAAAGGACCTTTGAGGCCGGAGTAAGTATTTAAGTGCATTAGCGACAGCCTCCAGCAGATAGTGTTACAAAGTACAGTTCTTAGTTTCGTGGACAAACAAAGTTCCTTGCTCGTTTACCCATCACGTAACAATACATTCCTTGTGATTTGCCGCAGAAAATCCTGTGTAATTAACTTAAAACAGATTTTATGGTCTGCGTGCTCGTTTATCGATAAAGGGATGGGAGTTCATTTAGCAGAAAATCTCACCTAAGTTAGCCGGCCGCCTCCTCCTTACCGATTCTTATCTTGTAGTTGTACTCTCTGGCCATCACTTAAGATGGGCCAATCACGTGGTTGCTGGAGTGGGCGGGGTTAGGAACTGGCCAGTCAGGTAGTAGTCCCGCCCCTGCCACGCCCACAAGGGTAAATGGGAGGTGTCAGCGGGCGGGCCAACCCAGGCTGGACACAAACAGAGGTACCATTCCCCTCTAAGTGTGTAGTGTGTGAGGGCGTGTGTCTCTCCCTCCACTGGAAGACTGAGTGTAGCCAGCACGCCCGCACACGCCCGCACGCCCACCACCACGGATAAATCTCAACCCCCCGGCGTCATGACAGCCGTGGAGCTGGAACAAGAGGAGGAAATCAACGTAGATGGGGACAGTCTACCAGGGTCCCCTGAACCACCAGCAGTGTGTCAGTCCGACGCTAATGTAGGTAAACCAGCCGTCAACACCGCCGCCAGACTCTCCTTCAGCATCTCCGCTCTCCTTGGCGACAAGGACCGCGCCAGCGACGAGGACGACCGTCGCCAGGACACTGACGACGATGACGACGACCACGACGACGAAGAAAGCTACGAGGACGACTACCCCAGCGGGTACCCCACCCTAGCAGGCCTACCCCAGCACTACGGTCCTCTCTCCGGCGGTGCGCCTACTGTGCTACGTGTCCCTGCTCATAGGCCTATGGGTATGGGGTACCCTGGGCTTGCCGGACTAGGGGGCGGCCACCCTTGGCTTCCAGGCTTGCCCCTGCCACCCTTTGACCGACCTACCGCCCTAGCTCCTCACTACCCTACCCTCGACAGACTCACAGGTTAGTGGCAGTACAGCCTATATCACCCGTACGAGTTTAGCGCATGCTTTCACATGCACACACATGTTAGTTCAGCACCAGCTGTTTGTCCCATATGGGTTTAGGGCATGTTATTTAATAATTACAATAATAATAGACAAAAAACAATAATAAAAATAATTAAAATAAATAATAATAATAATAATAATAATAATAATAATAATAATAATAATAATAATAATCCAAACCAGACCCCTAAACCGACATGGAAAGAGCGTTAAACCCGTAGGAGCCATTCCAGCTTCTTAAAAAAATAATATTTTTTTTTTAAATCAAACCTGCGACATCTCGCAGCAATGTTAATCCAAGGATATGGAGCCACCCTCCTCTTCCTCGGATCAGACCTGAGTACCTCCCATTCCCGAGGTATCGTATTACCCCTGCGGATTTAGCGCTTCCCAATGAAAACAGGGGGTAACAAAGATTATGTTGCCAAATACATACCTTAGACAGGTATAGATTGTTGTCAGGTGTGGAATAGTGTTGTCAGGTGTGATGTAATGCTGTCAGGTGTGGAATAGTGTTGTCAGGTGTGGAAAAGTGTTGTCAGGTGTGCATGGTATTGATCTCTGGTATGAGGCGGTGTTGCCAGGTGTGGAATAGTGTTGTCAGGTGTGGAATGGTGTTGGCAGGTGTGTATGTTAATCCTCTCTGGTCTGAGGCGGTGTTGTCAGTGTAACAGTGTTGTCAAGGTGTGTAAAAAGTGTTATCAATGTGTATAACAGTATTTTCAGGCTAGAACAGTGGTGTCAGAGATGTTAAAGTGTTGTCAGGTGTGTAACAGTGTTACAAAGATATGCAAGTGTTCTTAAGGTTATAACAGTTTTGTCAAGGGTCACAGCAGTGTTGTCAGAGTGTATATCAGTGCTGTCAATGCTATAACAATGTTTTCAAGGTCTGCAGTAGTGATGGCAGGTGTGTAACAGTTACAAGGTATGTAACAGTGTTGTCAAGGTGCGTAACGATGTTGACAAGTGAAAAACAGCGTTGTCAAACTTGATAATACTGTCGTCAGGTGTGTAATATTGTTGTCAAACGTTCTGTTGTCAGGTGTTGTGTTATCCAGAGTGTAACAGTGTTGTCAAAACTAAAATAACATTGCGAAGTGTTTAGCAGCGTTGTCAAGGTTCATTACAATGTTGTCAGGTGTGTAACACTATTGTCAGGCGTGTAATTGCTGTCAGGTGTTACAGTGTTGTCAGGTGAGTAACAGTGTCGTCAAGTGTGGAACAGTGTAGTCACGTGTTGTAAACTGTGGAACACTTTTGTCAGGGGTGGAAGAGTGCTCTCAAGTGTGGAACAATGTCATCAGGTGTGTAACACTGCTGTCAAGATGTGTAATAATGGTGTCGGGTGCGTAACTCTGATGCCAGGTGTGTAACAATACTGTTAGGTGGGTAACACAGTTGCCAGGTGTGCAACACTGTTGCCAGGTGTGTAACATCGTTGCCAAGTGTGTAACAAGTTGCCAGATGTATAACACTGTTGCCAGATGTGTAACACTTGCAAGGTGTGAACACTGTTGTCATGTGTTAAACAGTGTTGTCAGGTATGTAACAGTGTCGTCAAGATGTGGAAATCCTGTACTACGACATAACGGACAGACTACTACCTACTTGCAGGTATGGAATGCAGAAAAGAATTAATAGAGAGAGAGAGAGAGAGAGAGAGAGAGAGAGAGAGAGAGAGAGAGAGAGAGAGAGAGAGAGAGAGAGAGAGAGAGAGAGAGAGAGAGAGAGAGAGAAAGCATGGGAAAAAAAGAGAGAGCAAATGGAAGGGTGAAAAAGAGAAGGGAAAAGAGAGCTTGAAGAGAGATACGGTGATAAAGGGAGAGAAATGAAGGTTTTAAAATAATAATAATAATAATAATAATATATTATTATTATTATTATTATTATTATTATTATTATTATTATTATTATTATTATTATTAGGAAAAGCTGAACCTACAGTTGTCAAAGAATAGGAAATGAGAGGAAATTACTGAAGAGAAATAAAATGATTTGTGGTGACCTTGATACACTCTCACCCTACCCACGTTCCTGTCTGTCTCCTGAACACACCCCACGTTCCTGCCTGTCTCCTGAACACACCCCACGTTCCTGTCTGTCTCCTGAACACACCCCACGTTCCTGTCTGTCTCCTGAACACACCCCACGTTCCTGTCTGTCTCCTGAACACACCCCACGTTCCTGTCTGTCTCCTGAACACACCCCACGTTCCTGTCTGTCTCCTGAACACATCCCACGTTCCTGTCTGTCTCCTGAACACACCCCACGTTCCTGTCTGTCTCCTGAACACACCCCACGTTCCTGTCTCTCTCCTGAACACACCCCACGTTCCTGTCTGTCTCCTGAACACACCCACGTTCCTGTCTGTCTCCTGAACACACCCCACGTTCCTGTCTGTCTCCTGAACACACCCCACGTTCCTGTCTGTCTCCTGAACACAACCCACGTTCCTGTCTGTCTCCTGAATACACCCCACGTTCCTGTCTGTCTCCGTAACACACCCCACGCTCCTGTCTGTCTCCTGAACACACCCCACGTTCCTGTCTGTCTCCTGAACACACCCCACGTTCCTGTCTGTCTCCTGAACACACCCCACGTTCCTGTCTGTCTCCTGAACACACCCCACGTTCCTGTCTGTCTCCTGAACACACCCCACGTTCCTGTCTGTCTCCTGAACACACCCCACGTTCCTGTCTGTCTCCTGAACACACCCCACGTTCCTGTCTGTCTCCTGAACACACCCCACGTTCCTGTCTGTCTCCTGAACACACCCCACGTTCCTGTCTGTCTCCTGAACACACCCCACGTTCCTTTCTGTCTACTGAAGACACCCCATGTCCCTGTCTGTGTCATGAACACACCCCAGGTTTCCTGTCTGTCTCTTGAACACACCCCACGTTCGTGTCTGTCTATTGAACACACCCCACGTTCCTTTCCGTCTACTGAATACACCCCACGTTCCTGTCTGCCCAATGAACACACACCACGTTCCTGTCTGCCCAATGAACACACCCCACGTTCCTGTCTGTCTACTGATCACACTCCACTCTCCTGTCTGTCTACTGAACACACCCCACGTTCCTGTCTGCGTAATGAACACACCCCACGTTCCTGTCTGTCTACTGATCACGCTCCACGTTCCTGTCTATCTCCTGAACACACCCCACGTTCCTGTCTGTCTACTGATCACACTCCACGTTCCTGTCTATCTCCTGAACACACCCCACGTTCCTGTCTGTCTCCTGAACACACCCCACGTTCCTTTCCGTCTACTGAATACACCCCACGTTCCTGTCTGTCTACTGAACACACCCCACGTTCCTGTCTGCCCAATGAACACACACCACGTTCCTGTCTGCCCAATGAACACACCCCACGTTCCTGTCTGTCTACTGATCACACTCCACGCTCCTGTCTGTCTCCTGAACACACACCACGTTCCTGTCTGTCTCCTGAACACACATCACGTTCATGTCTGTCTAATGAACACACCCCACGTTCCTGTCTGTCTAATAAACACACTCCTCGTTCCTATCTGTCTACTGAACACACCCCACGTTCCTGAATGCCTCCTGAACACACCCCTCGTTCCTGTCTGCCTGCTGAACACACCCCACGTTCCTGTCTGCCCAATGAACACACCCCACGTTCCTGTCTGTCTACTGATCACACCCCACGTTCCTGTCTGTCTCATGAACACACCCCACGTTCCTGTCTATCTCCTGAACACACCCCACGTTCCTGTCTCTTTAATGAACACACTTCACGTTCCTATCTTTCTCCTGAACACACCCCACGTTCCTGTCTGTCTCCTGAACACGCCCCACGTTCCTTTCTGTCTACTGAACACACCCTACGTTCTTGTCTGTCTCCTGAACACCCCACGTTCCTGTCTGTCTCCTGAACACACCCCACGTTCCTGTCTGTCTCCTGAACACACCCCATTCCTGTCTGTCTACTGAACACACCCCACGTTCCTGTCTGTCTACTGAACACACCCCACGTTCCTGTCTCATGAACACACCCCACGTTCCTGTCTGTCTCCTGAACACACCCCACGTTCCTGTCTATTGAACACACCCCACGTTCCTGTCTATTGAACATACCCCACGTTCCTATCTGTCTTCTAAACATACCCCACGTTCCTGTCTGTCTCCTGAACACACCCCACGTTCCTGTCTATTGAACACACCCCACGTTCCTGTCTATTGAACATACCCCACGTTCCTGTCTGTCTCCTGAACATACCCCACGTTCCTGTCTGTCTCCTGAACACGTAAGACGGTAAATTAATTGCACAAAGTGATATTTACATTCAATATATAATTCACAATTAACCCACAATACCGTGGCTGCAACAATTCACAACTAACCCGTAATACTGTGACTGCAACAATTCATAACTAATCCGCAATTCTATGGTTAGAAAAATTCACAACCCACATTACCGTGGGTGCAACAGTTCATAACTAACCCACAATATCGTGACTGCAACAATTCACAACCCACAATATTGTGGCTGCAACAATTCACATCCCACAATGCCGTGGCTACAACATTTCACAACTAACCCACAATATCATGGCTGCAACACTTCACAACAAACACACAATGCCGTGGCTGCAACATTTCACAACTAACCCACAATACCATGGCTGCAACACTTCACAACTAACCCACAATACCGTGGCTGCAACAGTTCACAACTAACCCACAATACCATGGCTGCAACACTTCACAACTAACCAACAATACCATGGCTGCAACACTTCACAACTAACCCACAATACCATGGCTGCAACACTTCACAACTAACCAACAATACCATGGCTGCAACACTTCACAACTAACCCACAATACCATGGCTGCAACACTTCACAACTAACCCACAATACCATGGCTGCAACACTTCACAACTAACCCACAATACCGTGGCTGCAACACTTCACA